GAACAGTGTGTGTGTGTGTGTCACATCTGGAGACGAACGGAAGGACATGTGATGGAAAACATCATCTACAGCGGCGTGCACCTGTGTGAGAGAGAGTGTGTGTGTGTGAGAGAGAGAATGTGTGTGTGAGTGTGTGTGTGTGTGTGAGTGTGAGCGTGAGTGTGTGTGTGAGCGTGAGTGTGTGTGTGCGTGTGTGTGTGTGTGAGTGTGAGCGAGTGTGTGTGTGTGTGTGTGAGTGTGTGTGAGAGAGAGTGTGTGTGTGTGAGTGAGCGTGTGTGTGTGTGTGTGTGAGAGAGCGTGAGTGTGTGTGTGAGCGAATGTGTGTAATAACAAAACTGCTCACTTGACTTGAATTATGTGGTTTTACTGGATATAATAATTTTTCTCGTTTTTTTTACAGTATTGATTTATAATACTTTTCTGTCTCATATGTGATGAAGTTTGATCATTGGTGTGTAAAGCGGACTTGATCCCAGTAATAACTCCAGTACCAGGAAAAACAGTTCAAAAGATTGGAATCCCTATGATTTAAAAACCAAATTAATACTTCTGCTCGGTAAGGAAGCATCTCTAATAGTTTTAGTACACGATAAACGATAACACTGATAAACACAGATGATGATATTCACCAGATTAATCCCAGCATGAGTTACAGCAGCGCTCAGACGAGCAGGAGTCGACATGTCTCACTCTCGGCAGAAGAACATTCATCACTCAGCACACACACACACACTTCCTGTCCTGAAGGGTCCGCTCTGTGTGTGTGTGTGTGTGTGTGTGAGTGATTCAGGTGCTTTTATAACGCCGTCTGAGATCTTGGCTTGTTGACAGAATAATGGCCCTTTGCGTGTGTGTGTGTGTGTGTGTGTGTGTGTGTGTGTGTGTGTGTGTGTGTCTGTCTATCTATCTATTGTGGTGGATTTTTAATAGATAAGATTAATGATGTTACTAACCATAAAAATCTGATTTTAGATGAAGCATCTTATGATAAACAATTTAACCAATCATATTGATAGAGCGTGACATGTTAGTCATGATGATTATATTATGATGAGTCTGGCTTTATCCTATATGAGTAACCCGCTTACACCATGGTGACTTGCCAAATAACACATTTTTAAAACATTAGTTTATATTTGAATTAGTTTTACAATCGAAATCTAAAGTTTTTACAAACAATAACTTGGTTTCCCTGGTTACGCCTGACGGTTTATTTAGCAACCGGAGATATTTATAGTGCGTTCAGCTCGGAGAACCCTTCAGTTTAGCTAACTTACGAGCCAGAAATGTAACATATTTTTTTTCATGTAAGTTAGGCTTGTCTAGCCATGGGCGTTACACTTTCGTTTTTTTTAACCTATAATTAAAACACACTGTAAATTCAACATGGCCGCTGTCCGAAAAAGTGTTTTGGCTTCAGTCTTACCAGTCTTCTTGATATACCCAATCATAAATGTAAGTATTCTTATGGGTTTCCCATAGTCAAAAAAGGTAAAATAGACATCAAGTTTGTATTTGTATCTCATCTGGCTCAAAAGCTATAGCCGAGTCCCTTTCAGGCGGCGGCCATATTGGATTTGGCCGCCATCTTGGTCTCAGGGACCATTGGCTCGGGCGCCCTGGCTAAATCATTTCAGTATGCCCTCAGCTTCATCTGTGCCAAATTTGGTGCTTGTAGATGAATTTGCGCAAACAATGGGGTGTAAGGCCCCATACTACAGCCCAAACTGCTTTTTTGGACAGCGGCCATATTGGAATTGGAGGGTCCAGATATACTGGGTCATAAATATAAACATTCCTATGTGTTTCCCATGATCAATTAAGCTGAAAAACATATCAAGTTTGTATTTGTAACTCACGTGGTTCAAAAGTTATAGCCGGAACCCTTTTCGGGCAGCGGCCATATTGGATTTGGCCGCCATCTTGGCCCCGAGGGTCGCTGGCTCCGGCGCCCTAGCTAAATCATTTCAGTATGATGTGAGCTACATCTGTGCCAAATTTGGCGCTTTTAGATGAATTTGCGCGAAAATGTGCTTAACCCTCTGGGGACGGATTGGGCGGTACCGCCCAAAATGGCATACTTTTACAAATGTGTAATTATCTTAAAAACTATTAATGATAGAGAGCTGCGGTCTTTTTTACCGTCTTCCTCAGATTCCGCTGAAAACAGTGATACCCGGCTTTGTAAATATACACACTTCCTTGTTGCGCAATACCACTATGTAAAAGGCCAATGAAATCGATGTTGTTTGGCAGATTCCGCGAACAACAACCAATTGAAAAATTGCCGATGGAGAAATATTTTTCTTACCCAATCAGAGGAAGGTTACCATGACCTTTCTAGCAAATCAGAGGACTCTGTAGCCTTGCAAGGGGTGGTACTATATAGTTAGGGATATGACGCAAACAGCGTTGAATGGAGAGAAGGAGAGGGAGCGAACGGAGGTTTACGGAGCGGATTATCAGAGATTTATATGAGAGAGAGACAGAACAATTATAATATATATATACACATACATAAAATGATGGCAAGCAGTAAACGATTTACGGTGGAACAAGCTCTGGAACAATTACTGGAGAGTGACGAGGAGAAAGCATTGCTTAGAAAATTCTAAGCATTCCTAAGAAAAACGCCTGGGACTATTTGTAAATAAAGTTACATTTTTCATTGTTCTTTAAACATTTTATTTAACAATTACACATGTCTGTCAAGCAAAGGCTTTGACAAATATATTTTTTGTTTAAAAACTGTTCACTATTGTTGTGTGATGTGTGATTTTCAGAAAAAAATGAGAAAAATCTAATTTCCGTTTTTGAAATTCTCTAGTTTATTGTACATTTTTCACTCATACTTCCTTTATAAACACATTACATGCATGCTTATGTTATCTTAGGGTTTTCTGAATCCATAGATACCAAACACATAGTGATCCATCTCCATTACATATGGTTTATAAGCCCAAATGTAAAAATAGAGAAAACGGACCAAAAAGGACTTAGTCCCCAGAGGGTTAAGGCCCCCAACTATTAGGCGTAGTATAACGGCTAACTAGATGTTTGTTTTGATACAATAAATTGTATCCGGATACTTTGACTGCCTGTTGCTATGGTTACTCACAGCTGATGTAGCCAGCGCATTTATTTATTAATTTCGAACGGTAAACCGTCAGTTTCACCAGAACTCCTTTACCAGGTGTCCTCCATCACTTTTTAATGGACACCCTGCAGCCAATCAGAATCGAGTATTCACCCAGACCATGGTATAAAGCTTGTTGTATTCTTCTTTTGGGTTGAGATTCTCTGAGAACTGCTCGAGACTCCCGGCCGCAATAAAGAGCATTTAAAGGACAATTACTCAAGTCTATCGGTCATTAAAGCTGCGCAGAAAAGAAAACAAGTCAGTTAGAGTTGTCGATTAAAATATTAATGAAAATACAGAATGCAAAATATGATTTAATTATCTTTATGCAAAATGTATCTTATGCTCTGGTTTTGGGGTGTAATATGAGATGGACATGGACAGGTGCAATACTGGATAAATGCTAGACACAAACACACACACACACACACACACAAGCACGTACACACACACACACACACACACACCTCAAAGTTTATCTGCAGCAGGAGAAAGACACAAATCACTGTGAATGACAGGACGCAATTACACAACAGCTGCTTCAGCACGACAACAGCACTTCCTGTGCGAGATCGTAAATCACACACACACACACACACACACACACACACACACACGCACACGCATACGTACACATGCGCACACACACACTCACACAAACACTCTCACTCAC